AATAATTATGGTGAGTAGGAAAATTAAAATGACCTCTCCCCCCCCCCCCCCCTTCCCTCTCCCTCCCCTCCTCTCCTTCTCTCCCATGCTCTTCAAGGGAGTTGGTTCGTCCAGGATTAGAATCAATGATTTGAATCTCTTGCCAGTTTCGTTAAGTTCTAACCGGGATCAGCACCCTACATCTCTTGTGGGCACGTATGTGTGTGTACTGTACACACGTGCGTGCAGTTCACATGTGTGTGTGTGTGTGTGTGTGTGTGTGTGTGTGTGTGTGTGTGGGTTTGTACTTGTCTGTGCGTGTGCATGTACATATGTCCGTGAGTGTGTGTGTGTTTTGAGTGTCCTCGAGCATGGGCGTGTAGGTGCGTGTGTGTTCGGGAAACTGGGCATATCCTGAGTACGTGCATGCTTGGACATTAGCTCATACACATGAATGTGAGAATGGACGTGGATAGGGGGGGGGGGGGTCAGGCATGTGTGCAGGGATTTGTGCATACATGCACTGGACCCAGAACATTATACGTGAGAACTGTTTGCATTTGGTTTGCTTTTTTGTGGACCTGGTCTCACAGATACGCCTCTGGTGTCCACGGACTGCAGCAGACACACTCGCCTTATACTTCCCAATGTTCAGCCGATGCTGTTAGGCGATGCGTGGAGGGAATGCAAGTATTGGAATGGAGAACTAGTAACCAGCGGAGTAGGTGGGCTCGATAACTGCCTACAGCCATTCTACGGGGCAATTCCACGCCTCCAGGCCAGGAATGTTCTGTGGTCAGTCCATGATATCGACTCAATCCCTGAAGCACCTCAGCAGGGTCTACAGAAAGCTTATATACCTGTGTGCAGGGTTGCCATTAAGTATGGTAAGTAACCCAGGCAACCGCTGTAACCCAGGCAACCGCTGTATCAGTCAACCGCTGTATCAGTACTGTGTGCCGTTGGCAGTTCATACTGCATTGAGCTAGCATCATTGTATTTGTGTACGCACGTGTGTGTATTTGTGTGTGTGTGTATGTATGTGTGTGTGTATGTGTACGTATGTGTGTGTGTATGTGTATAATACTTGTGCATATTTCAACTCGGATGGTGAGCCAATTATGGTGAGGCAGTTTTGTGCCATTTTGTCGCACTCGCTGACTGTATAAGATCTGGTTACGTTGGTGGGCAGTTCGTCATAACTCGTAACATTTTGTCCTTCTCCTATTTCACTTGTGCATATGTTACAAATCTAAGCGTATATACACGTCACACACAGGTACGCATAATACTAATGTTTGACTCAGTAGGCAGTCGGGTCACTATAGGCAGTCGGGTCACTATAGGCAGTCGGGTCACTGTAGGCAGTCGTGTCACTGTAGGCAGTCGGGTCACTGTAGGCAGTCGGGTCACTGTAGGCAGCCTGGTCACTGAAGGCAGTCGTGAGTCCAGTATGCAGTCGACATCCTGTAAAGAGTCGGAGGGTGTGCCGCTAGGAGTCAGTAAGCAGTGAGGGGGCTCTGTGTACCAATATGCAAGGGTTGATACAGCTTTATCCATCACAAGCACTGCTGCATACATCATTCGTTCCATCATTCCTGTTTTCTGTGTGCTCACACCCTGTTTGATTGTCCTCCCTGTGCAGTTAGGTTCTGGTGTGCACAAACCAACTCCGATCTGTCCATTCGAGAAAATCCTCAGACCAAAACGCTGCCCGAAGCGGAGGAACATTGCCAAATCGGGTTTTCTGCGGACGAGCATGGAAAGCCATATGCTGCAGTTGGCCGCATTGTTAGCCAATTGCCCGTCGAAATGCAATGCCTTACCAACTACCTCAAGCAAGTCAAGAAAGAATCCATTGAAGGCAATGTTTGGATTGATGGCGTTCAAGCTAGTCCTCCAACGCAGAAGAAATACGTCGTTTGTGAATACAGAAGAATGTTCGGTAAGTGTCCCACAGAATGAAACCGTAGCCAATGTTTGTGATCGGTGTTCACACTTCTGTCTGTTTAGTATAATTATTTAAGGGATGACCCAGAGGCGAGTGGGCATTATCTATTTATAAAGTGGTTTCTTGATAATATGGGATCGTTTGTGCTACGGAAATTCAGCTGGATCAAGGACGGTGCAGGATGAATGAGTCTGCGTGTATGTGTGTGCAGTCGTTTCATCGAGATCGGACCTACCGGGATTTGCTGGCGGAGATGGAACGGCTACATTCCGAGCTGCTGCTCCTGCCAAATACGAAATACATCGTATAAGGCAGACCGGCAATCCGCATGCATGGAACGTGGCTCAGGGTTGTCGCCAAAGCGATATAGCGGCGCGCTTCTTCTTCTCTTTTTGACCGTCCCCTTTCAAAAGAAATGTGCCAGCGACAGAGTGCGAGCGCCATCTTAGTAAAAAAATCTTTTTATTTGCTTGCTAAGTAGACATGTAGTCTGTAGCACACTTTAAAATGGCTGCACAAATTGGCGGTGAAAATCACAAAATGTTGGTTCAGATGACCCCCGTCCCCTTCACATTTTGTTCCGGCCATAACCCTGAAGGCTGTGTCTCGTGCGAGGACCTACCATCCGTACACTGCATGCTGGTGAGCAGAAGTATGATGTAGATGCCGCAGTGCAGCGGTGTAGTTGCCATGGATGACGTTTGGCTTGAACTGCATGTATGCACGCATGGCACGTGTACATGTGCATGCACAACTGCAATCCAAACGCATAATATTATGCGCGTGCAAATCTGCACTCAATTTCTGGCTTTTTGATATAATTATTTTCATCTTGGGCACCCTGTAAGAAGACCTTCGGGTCTGTTGGGAATGCCCAGGTAAAATAATGAAATACAATACAATACAATACAATTATGGCAAATCAAGTTTGACGATCGAAAATAGTGACATTTTGATTTTACCCTAAGGAGTGTCGCAGTTGTATCCAATCTCCACTGTGTCCAGATTGCTATCCAATCTCCACTGTGTCCAGATTGCTATCCAATCTCCACTGTGTCCAGATTGCTATCCAATCTTCACTGTGTCCAGATTGCTATCCAATCTCCACTGTGTCCAGATTGCTATCCAATCTCCACTGTGTCCAGATTGCTATCCAATCTCCACTGTGTCCAGATTGCTATCCAATCTTCACTGTGTCCAGATTGCCATCCAATCTTCACTGTGTCCAGATTGCTAATGAATTGCTATCGTCCTATAGTTACAGCTCCACATTGCCACTGTTAACTCGCCTAAAATGATCGAAGGACAACATCCTTGGGCAGTGTGCTTTTCATTGCTATCCTTTTCAATGCCGCACTGTATGTCACTGCTACCCTGTCCAATGCCACACTGTACATCATTGCTACCCTGTCCAATGCCACACTGTAGATCATTGCTACCCTGTCCAATGTCACACTGTACATCATTGCTACCCTGTCCAATGTCACACTGTACATCATTGCTACTCTGTCCAATGTCACACTGTACATCATTGCTACCCTGTCCAATGCCACACTGTACATCATTGCTACCCTGTCCAATGCCACACTGTACATCATTGCTACCCTGTCCAATGCCACACTGTACATCATTGCTACCTTGTCCAATGTCGCACTGTAGTTTGGCAACTCAAGGCCAGACACTAACTAACAAGCCTAAGTGCAATACTGTAAACCCGGACTCGTTTGCGCCCATCTTAGTTTCGCGAATTGCAAAAGACAGACTACTTAGCGCCTGCAAACATTTGCGATTGGAGTCAATTTGATGATTGAGTCGAGTCTACAGTCTCGAGTTTCGCGCCCACTTGCTTTCGCGATTTCACACCCATCGCAAAGATCGGGAAACTGTTCAGGATCGCAAAGGTTTCTTTAACAGAATTCAGGCAGCCGCGCAAATGTTTAAGAATTTTTTCTGTACATTGCTCTGCACGCTGTTGCCATGGTTTCTTATGTACATTGCTCTGCACGCTGTTGCCATGGTTTCTTATGTACATTGCTCTGCACGCTGTTGCCATGGTTTCTTATGTACATTGCTCTGCACGCTGTTGCCATGGTTTCTTATGTACATTGCTCTGCACGCTGTTGCCATGGTTTCTTATATACATTGCTCTGCACGCTGTTGCCATGGTTTCTTAATTCCATTGATTTGCACGCTGTTGCCATGGTTTCTTATGTACATTGCTCTGCACGCTGTTGCCATGGTTTCTTATGTACATTGCTCTGCACGCTATTGCCATGGTTTCTTATGTACATTGCTCTGCACGCTGTTGCCATGGTTTCTTATGTACATTGCTCTGCACGCTGTTGCCATGGTTTCTTATGTACATTGCTCTGCACGCTGTTGCCATGGTTTCTTGTGTATATTGCTCTGCACGCTGTTGCCATGGTTTCTTATGTACATTGCTCTTGTAGCAAGAAGGACCCATGAGTGTGTGTGATCCCCGGTAGCCTAATCGGTAGGGCACTGTCCCGGAAAGACAGGGGTGCTGGGTTCGAATCCCGCTCGTGGATCCTTCTTTTGCAACATTGGCGCCTGGCAATGGCTCGAACCCACGACCCATCGTACCCCCCGCGAGTAGGTACGGCGTGAGGACACAGCCTGTTGGGGCGGGGGAGCAGTGTAGCAAGAAGGACCCATGAGTGTGTGTGATCCCCGGTAGCCTAATCGGTAGGGCACTGTCCCGGAAAGACAGGGGTGCTGGGTTCGAATCCCGCTCGTGGATCCTTCTTTTGCAACACTCTGCACGCTGTTGCCATGGTTTCTTATGTACATTGCCCTGCACGCTGTTGCCATGGTTTCTTATGTACATCATTACAGCCGGGGTACTGTAAAACGGGTAGCGTTTATGACAATAAAAGTTTGCGCTTTACAAATTGAGACTAGTGTGCGCTGTTTAATGTTTGCGCCGGAGTCGTTCTAACGTTACACAGTCGAGTCAGTCCTTGCACTGAACTTTACATGGCGCGAGTTTGCGTTGTTCAAAGTTTGCGATTCGGGGGCCTCTCGCGAAATTAACAGTTTTACGTCGCAATACAGTAAGATCGGGCGCCGAAGAACGCAGGGGCTCGAGCGCAGCCTAGGAAAGTTCTTAAATTGTTGATTCTAGCCAGACCGTTCTTATTCACACGCGCGGCGAGTCGAGTGACGTCATGACGTTTGTCATGTACATGTACATGTACATGTACATGTACATGTACATGTACTTCTAAACTAGTGGGTGTCGTAAATGGGAATGACTGTACATGTAGCAGTTACTGTTTACACGTGTACATGACATGTACTCACCTCCCATACATGTACAATGTTGATCTACGTACAATGTAGATCTAGTGTTCTTAAATCTGATAATTCTAGCCTGGACTGCTCTTAAATTTTGCCGGTTTTCCAGCCTGGGTATTCTTCGGCGAGGTGTTCTACGGCACCCGATCTTACTGTAGTCTGTACACGTTTTACAGTTCCTGTCTTTTCCTGTGTTTGCAGCGGACCTGCATTGCAAGAAGACAAGAGCTCTATACAGCCCGTTCCCCTTGGCCAGGAAGAGCTACGATGATGCGGTAACAGAATGTAAACGTCGAAAGTACTTTGGACTTATGACTAGAACTGATGGCTGTGGGATTCCTTCTTGGTACAAGCTAAACTTAGACACCTTTTGGTGGAAACACTCCGTGGCTCGCGGAACTGGCAAAAGATTTTTCATCTGTGAACGGGGTAAGCTGTAAAACTGCTTGCAACTCCCGCCTTGAGCTGCTGCTGCTGTTGCTGCTGCTGCTGCCACTGTTGGTGCTGAATCTGCTGCCCATGTCTCTTTTGGAAGTGGAGCAACTACTTGCCTCAGACAGAAGGCACTGGCTGGACGTTGTCCACAGATGCATGACCCTCATTTGATTTTGTCATATGACCTATATGTGTGCTGTAGTAGTATTATTATTATAGTACTAGTGTCACGGCTGACTGTAGGTGCTCTTCCGTGGCTAGAAACTACTCATGAGCGGAACTGATGGCAGTGTCATCTGCAAACTGGCTGCTCTCTGTGTAGGCATTTGTGCATGCAGTTGGCAGATCACTTGTGAAGGCCATGAAGAAAAACCGGTCCCGAAACCGAACCAAGTGGGGGACACTGGCTAGAATGTTCATCCAGGTCTACTTGCTGCTCTCCACTTGCACATGTCAGGCTTTGCCTACTGTGCCTAGACCCCAACAATGGGTGATCATGTGACCCCAACAATGGGTGTTCATTTGACCCCAAATGTGCGTGATCATGTGACCCCAACTGTGTGATCATAGGACCCCAACTGTGTGTGACCTAAGCAAAGCCTGCTTTTACCCGGGAAGCTCCAATATCTTTCGGCCTTCGATATTTTACTAGCAGCATTGCTAGCACAATCGAATTATGTCTAATGGATGCCCTCTGGACGTCATAATTTCATTAGAAACATCACACGGGTAAAGTGCTTTATGCGTCTTGGTGGGTATTTTTGCACGTGCACGTTCACAAACCTTGTGTATGGTTCTGCTGTGAACAGGGGTGACAACATGTCAACAAACCTGCTCCGACATCAGCGTGTTTCCTCTCCAGAAGATACTTCCCTCAGGAGCAGGCCAAGTGTGCAGACAACGAATCAACTTGTTTGGCGGCGGGTACAAGTTTGCTCACGTCGCAAGTTCAGAGAGCGAGATCTTTGGATGCGTCACTACCCATCTGAGATTGGCCAGTATGTATGATGAAGAAGTTATCGGTGGAGGCAAATTATTTGGCGGTGCGCTGACAGGGTCAAGAGAAAGAGCATTCGTTGTGTGCGAGTATCGAAGACAATGCGGTAAGTAGAAATAGTATAAGTTGTTTTTAAATTTGCAATTTCAAGTACATGACAGATTGCTTGCTTTTTCCTAACGCTTTTAAAATTACGAAATAATCTGTCGTGTGTCAAGTCAAGTCGGCGGAATAGTGCGAGCTCCGGTGTGGGGAGCGAAGCCTTGCTTTTAAAATCCTTTTATAAATCTTGAACGGAAAACTGGACATTTGACCCGCAGGAAGTCTGAATGCTCTGTCAACTGCTGTATGACAGCTGGTGGGGAAATTGTGTCGTTGGAGGGGATATAGGGAGGGGTTGTGTGTGGGGGGGGGGGGGGTGGCAGCAATCTCTGTTGTAGGTTGCGCGTGCCGCAGCTCTGAAAGGTTTCGTGCCACCTGCTCTGTGCATGACATTGGCATTATAGGTGAGAAATCGCTGTTTTCGATCTAAATGTTTGAGAACATGTTCTCGGTTGTAACGCCATGGCACTAAAAGAGGGACAGTGAAACGCCTCCCGTAATGTCTCGGATAAAAGCAGGTGCTTACTGCCGTATAAGCCAGGGTTAAAATCATGCTTCGATTACAGTTATGCTTCCATTCAAACCATGCTTCTACGTCAAAATCTTCAGTCTACACGTTTGTTTGCACGATTGTGTGTATGTGTTTGTGTGTATGTATATGTGTGTATGTGTTTGTGTGTATGTGTTTGTGTGTATGTGTTTGCGTGTGGTTGTGTGCGCATGTCTTGCACTCTCAGGCTACGATTGTGATGCACATTATGATGACGGGTCTATGTTCTCCTCAAAACTACACTATGTCCCCACGGAGTCTGGCAAGAACTTCAGGGAAGCTAAACAGTATTGCGCGGACCACGGCATGCAACTTCCAAAGGCCTATGAGAGATTCTGTGTGGACAAGTTCCTATCTCAACAGATGGGAACTAGAGGGTCTGGTTGGATTGATAAGCCTGAAATGAACTCACACGCCCTTGTAAGCCGACCGGATGCAGGTGGCCGTCCACAGTGGATCCCCTCCTACGCAAAGTTGAAGATTGTCGTCTGTACTGTGCGCAGAGTAAGTGATACTGATCGTTACCATTCACCCGTGTACACACACAAACACACATGTACGCACACATACACATACACACACAAACACACACACACACACACACACACACACACGTGCGCTCATGGCCAGTAGATTGAGTACTCACATGAATGTGATGGAAATTGCCCTTTTACTTGTGCGGTATTGGTACCTAGTAAGACCTGGTGGTTACATGTATTGACACACTCATGTTGATAATCCAGGGTGCTCTGTTGTCCATCATGTTTCAAACCTATGCCCATATTATCCCCATCGTATGCTGACCTTGAGATAGCAGACGGTTTTGGGTGAGATCTCGTGTATTTTGGACTCTTGGTGAGGATGCATGTGGAGCTAAGAGTATTCGAGTGTGCTTTGCCATGCTTGCCGCGGTTTTTGAGTTGCGGAGTGGCGTTAAATTAACTCGTTTGTAATGCTTACCTTTTTTCCCCCATTTGTTTTGTCCGTGTGTGTGTGTGTGTTCGTGTGTGTCCGTGTGTGTGTGTGTGTGTTTGTGTGTGTGTGTCTGTGCATGACTCTGTGGATCTGCTGCAGTGAGAGGAATGCGCTGACTCTACATTGTTGTGGGCACGTGTATGTTACATGGACGCCCGTCAAGTTTCTTCCTGAACTGTTTTGGAGCAGAACGTGGAGTCGTGCAGGGATTTGCACTGCAGCCTCTCTGGCGAAACCGCGGCCGGGCTGCTCCAAACCTAATCTTTATGCGTTCAATGTTTTCTGTATGTTCTTCTGCTCAATAATTATTATAATCTTTTTGTAGACCCACTATGATCATGTGTATGGTATGCTGCTGCTGCTGCTGTTGTTGCTGCTGCTGTTGCTTGGAGGATTGCACCAGCTCTCATACTATGGATTGAGACTTTCCAGAGAAGCATTCGCCTGCCACTAGTTCGACCGGCTGGACATGCAGGTGGCCTACTCAGATGTATACAATGTAAAATAAATGAATAATATACACTAAAAAAGGTGACATTCACTAGTTACGAGTCCCAATGCTCACATACATACAAGATCCTGAGTGGAATAAACAAATTACTCACTCACCCTCCCTCACTCACCCGCCCCGCGCCCCCTGCGCCCCCCCCCCCCCCCATCTCTTCCTCTCTCTCTCTCTCTCTCTCTCTCTCTCTCTCTCTCTCTCTCTCTCTCTCCATCATTGTCTGGCTCTCACCGGTTCTCACTCTTCACACACAGTCTTTCTTCTCTCCCTTTCCCCCATGGTGCGTGATGTGCGCCTTGATCCCGAGACCATTGGTCGGGGAGCACACTTCACCTCACCGGCACAGCTCAATAGCACCTACACGCCCTTTGTAGTCCCCTATGTTCTCTTGATGTTGTTGATGATGTTCTCATCCATTCTATGTAGGCATGTGCACTTTCATAAAAAAATAATAATATTATAAAAAAATTCGTCTCTACCCGAGTTGCTTGCTTTGTGTAGTCACGAGAAAGTTCCTGCTCAGCTGAACACTGATACACAGTCATACAGTCGACTCCCCTTATAACAAACTCCCTTAATAATTATAGCGAACTTCATGATATTCTGGACTCGGAGACCCAGGGATTAATTTATACAAAAGAGAAAGAACCAAGGAACTACAGGTTACGCTATACTGTCCACTAACACCACCAGTTACTTGACAATCGGCTCATGCGATAACATTGCACGACACTGACAAGTCTCAGCTGTGAAGGACGGTGGTGGATGTTCATGCATGTCGATGAAGGTACTGGAAAGACCATTAGACAATACGGTCAAACCATGATTCAAGAACGCAAAGCAACATTCCACACAACTTGTGTGGCTCAAAAGATTCGAAGATCAATAAACAATTTAAAAAATTGTCCGACCCGCCCTGGAACATGCCACCTCGGCCTGGTCCTATGCCATCACCAAAGCTGAGCTGGAGCGTTTGAATATTTTACAAGCCAGAGTAGCTAGGAAGTATTTGCTACGTAAAAAAGTCAATGTAGATAGATGCGAAACGAAATCCCAGTTAAATGCCCTTTGTGACTTATTAGAGTCCTTGCACTTTCGTAGACAAGTATCAGCTCTTGTTACTCTATTTAAACTTATACATATATCTCCAGAACACCTCCAACATTTTCACCTTTCACTGTCTTCAAATCCAAGAAGACCAAACAAACTTTTAACATTATTATTATCGCGGTGTGCGTTTTTCTTTCCTCTTTTCCAACAAAGCTGCAGTGCCTACCGCCTTCTCTTACCTCTATAACCAGAGTAGTTAGTGCGGGGCGGGTTCTGGGCCACTTTTTGACCTTTGACCTTTGGTCCAAATAAGGCACACTGTGTCGGTCGTGCTTGGTCTGGCCCCGGGACTTCCCCCAGGGTTTGACCTTTGACCTTTGGGTTAAATAAGGCACACTGTGTCGGGCGCGCTTGGTCTGGCCCCGGGACTCCCCCAGGGTTCGACCTTTGGCCCTGCCATGTCATAAATGTGCCATAAAGGTTCTTTTCGCCATTGATGGCGAACGTGCACTTGTGCACGTTCGGTGCATTCGCACCAGGGAGTAGTAAAATACGTACTATTCCCTGATTCGCACATCATAGATGTGCATTGCATGCAGCGAATGACATATTGCGCATGCGCGCATACGCACGCGGAGCATGTGACCTTCAGTGGTCCTATGCGTGTGGAAAAGATGCAGTGCAACACAAGGTGTACTAGTACACGTGTCATTATACTACTCCCTGATTCGCACTTCGTAGATGTGCAGCAAACAAGTTCACGTTCCGTGCATTCGTTTTATTCGCACATCGTAGATGTGCACTGATTGACAAGTTGCCCATACAGAGCATGCCTAATCGGTTTTTCGATCGGTTAAGAGAATGTTCAAAATCGGCCATATTATGAGCCCCAAGATCAGAATTCGGCTCAACGTAGTACTTGAAGTCCCATTACGTCATGTACATTTACACACAAGCACACTCTGTTGAAGCACTGAAACATCGATTTTCGGCGAATTCAACATGCGAAATTTGAAAATTCGGCGAAAAGATGGGTGATTTCTTCAAAACCACTTTTTTCGGCGAATTTGTCGGCCAGCCGATTTGGGAAATGCCTACTGTCCATGCAGGTGCATTAGATGCATATTTCTATTTTGATTTTGACCGGCTACGCCCGGAGTATCATGCATCAAAACAATTATTGAAGGGGTGTCACAGTGAAGCAGTGTTGCTACGCACCACAAATCCCCTCTGCACTGCATCGAATCTATACTGGAGAATTCAGAGTGACCAGCAAAGAGTCACAACCCGCGGGTATCCAGTCACACTAAGGCATATCCACCATTCCCCACATATTCACTGTAACAAAACACAATACTGTTCACTATAATACACTTTTATTTAAATGGACTTGGATGAGTCTGTAGAAGAGAACACAATGCACGCACACGCACGCATGCGCGGACACACACACACGAACACACACGCGCGCACACACATCTAGGTTATAGTGCTATACACGTATCTAGGGTTTAGGAAGCACGAGAATATGTCGAAGCACCCACACATATGACATATCCCTTCATGCAGTGTACTTCAGTAGCCCAACACATTACGACCGCTATAGCACAGGACCATCACAAAACACATTACTACTGCTATAGCACAGGACCATCACAAAACACTACACACTGTTACTACACTACACACACAGTTACTACACTACGCCTGTTACAAGTACTTACAAATAATTTTGAAACAAATGGCACATCCTGAAGACGGCAGCCCCAGACCTTCATACATCATCATCTGTGAAACCAAACATGAGCGCACACAAACACTATTAGTGTCACGAATACGAAAGCAGGGTAAGACAAGAGGATACGAAACAAGTAAGTATCGCTATAACGAGGGGGTAAGTATACATGTAAACAGAGCAGTGCTTACTTACAGGGTCCTAATACGCTCTACGGCGTCATGGTAGTCGGACTGCAACAGCAGTCCGACTTGCCGACCCTCCCAGTAACGGGTTAGATGGGCCGCACCCGCCAGGTGGGCGACCACGGCTGGGCCTCCCACCAGCCTTTCTCCACTGTAAACACGAAAGAAACCGCAGAAAGCACAGTGTGTAACAGGTTTAATCAAACTTGAAAAGTAAGAGCCCTGGTTGAGCGTGCCTCGACCAGTTATATGCAAAATGTGATAGTATACATGTGGCAATGGCGCCAATGAAGGTGCTAATAGACAGGCGTAAGACGCATGAGGTGCGAGGGAGTGTAAAGTTATAGAGAACAGGGGAAAACTGTTACATCATCCCCCACCTATGGAGAGGAAGGAGCTTATAACCCAAATGCTCAAGTGGAATAGAGTACAATAAGCGCAAACACGTGCGAGACGAAAAAAGGCTTCGCACTGAAGTAACACAATAAGACGACTGAAACTCCATGCAAATAAAGTGTAATAAGCTCAACAAATGTGTAAGGTGAAACTAGAAGTTCAACTGCAAAACTCAGCGGGCAGAAGCCAAGGTTTTGTACTTCTGAAGTGGAACAATGTCATTACCAGATTCATCCAACAAATAATGTTCAGGCTCCCAAGTGGCATCAGAGTAGCCTTGCCACTTGACTAGGTACTGAAGCTGATTCTGCCGGCGGCGGTGACTGAGAATGTTCTCCACCACATAGCGGGCATGATCATCAAGGTCCGTGATAGGCGGAGGCGTAGGCTGTCTCCTATTAGGAATAGCGTTCTTCTCGTAGGCACGGAGTGCCGACACATTAAATACCGGGTGACAGCGGCTGGTATGAGGCAACTTGAGCTTGTAGGCATTCGGGCCGACCACATGGGTTATAGGAAAGGGGCCAAACCACTTGGGGCGTAATTTATGGGATGGTCGGTCCCGAGCTTCAGGAGTCAGGAGGAAATCCCTGTAGACCATTACCAAATCTCCCACCTTCAGCTTTCCCTCGACCCTTGTCCGATCTGCATAGAAGGCCTGACGAGCTTGAGCTGCCACTAGCGCATCTTGTGAGACCTTGACCGCGTCTTGTCTTGCTTGCAACCAATCAGCTGAATCTCTGCCTCCCTGAATAGGGTTGAGGAAGTCGGGTGGCGCTCTGGGATTTAGACCGTAATTTAAGAAGAACGGTGTGTTTCCTGTAGATGATTGAGTAGCGCTGTTGATAGAAAACTCACAGAGAGGTAGGAGCATATCCCAGTTATCTTGTTTATGATTTACAAAAGCCCTCAGCACATCCTCTACTATCCTGTTTACTCGTTCAGTTAGGCCATCTGTCTGAGGGTGATTGGCAGTACTAAATGCTAGTTTCGTTCCTAAGCGATCAAACAATTCCTGAAAAAATGCTGCCGTAAATCTTGGATCACGATCACATACAATACTAGAACTCAAACCATGAAGTCGAAATACATGTTGAATATACAGATCAGCACTTCCTTTAGCGTCAATAGTAGAGGAAGTAGGTGCTAAATGTACACACTTTGTCAAGCGGTCTACAAATACATATATAGCATCATGACCTGTATCGGTCCTAGGCAAACCCATGATAAAATCCATCGAGATATCCGCCCACGGCTGACTGGGCACTGGTAAATTCTGCAAGAGACCAGTTTTTAGCTGGCCGCCTTTAACTCGTTGGCAGACGTCACATGACTTGACAAACGCCTTTACATCCAGTCCCATTCTGGGCCAATAGAAATATCTAGAGAGTCTGAAATAGGTGCGATCTCGACCGGGATGCCCCGCAGTCACACAGTCATGGTATTCTTGAAGCAGGGCGAGTCGGAGTTTGCTACTCTTTGGAATGCATAACCTGTTCTGTGGTGAAGATCTGAGATAAAGATAACCGGGTGTTTCATTTAGAAGGTAACGGTCGTGCAGATTGTCATGGCTTGAATTTTTCAGTCTCCTGATAATGGGAGCAAGATCCTTGTCGCACTTGTAACCGCTGACAATTAACTGCGCTAAGTCTGGATTAATCTCTAGGGTATGCTCTATGGCATTCAACTGAATGTTAGGAGGATAGGATGACCCGCCTATTTCAGAATCACTGAACAGATCTG